CTTAAACCCATTGCCGTCCAGTCCATTCTGACTCATAGCAACCCTATAGGACAGAGTAGAACTGCCCCATAGGTTTCCAAGGCTGTGATCTTTACGGAAGCAGACTGTCACATCATTCTCCTGCAGAACACCTGGTGGATTCAAACTAATGACCTTTCAGTTAGCAGGCAAGTGCTTAACCCCTGCTCCACCAGGGCTCCTTCTTAGTAGCTTAGGTCACTTGAAAGGATCTTTCCCAGCCTTGACGTATGGGTCCAGCCAGCAAAGATCCTCAAATCCATACTGTGCACTTTTGTCTATAGTTGACCTTGTTAAAGTCTGCTGTAAGGAATGTCAAAGGAAATGTCTGACTGCAGGAAAAAGAAATTAACAAAATCAGTAAGTTAGGCTGCTTAGGCCGGCACTACTGAAATGTCTAAAATGCTTTACTTACACCGACAAAAGGCAAGACTTTTCCGAATGCATTCACTTTGGGATGTATCTGTTTTGGTTCGGGTTTTGGTTCTGTTTTGCCTACAGTGTCAGGTAAGTGTCTCCGTCTTGCATTTTCTTAAGAAAGTTCCAACATGTCCACGGACCCAGGGCATTGTTGTAGTTTTGTTGGGAAAGCTACTGTCCACAGAGGTTACCCCAAAATGTCCCTCACTAAGATATCTACAACCCTTCAAGGTGCCTTTACTCCCATTTCACTGTGGCCCCAAATGGCATCGTTTTCTTAAGCATATAAGTAAGCAGACCAGAAGCAGGATAATTATGTTATATAAGTTATAGAAGGATAATTACCATGTAATCTCAGAGTTTCTTGAAGTCAGTGATCAATATTTATAGAACTCTATTGCTGACTAGTTTGTTACGTTCATCATGAAAATTGATTCAGCTCACTGATCAAAATAAATGCATAGATAAGCCTTAGTGTGGAATCTTACCTATTCATTAACTCAAGGTACTTTTCTAGCCAGAGGTTCATAAGGGAAATGGAAGTTACTTTCTCCAGAAATTCTATTGGTTACAAGTAAATCATTTGTGATTGTTATATATTTGAGTCAACTGAATATTTGAGGCAACGATTCAAGTAGTTGAAACTAATATAGTAATATTTGGATATTTTAGATAACGGTTGTTTGAAATTAGAATAATCTGGTAGTTGTCTCTATTCTCAACTTCAAGACAAATTACTTCTACAATTAGATCTCTCAACTCTGAACTCATGCTGTCAATGATTTTTCTTGTCCCAAATTCCTGTCAGTCTCTGAGCAGTGACAAGGCCTTATCCTACTTTCACATTTAATAAAAATCTCATTTTCCAGCCATTTGTAGAACTAACCTTGTTTTATAATAGTATTGAAGAATTAAAGCCAAGAAATTATGCTGTTATACCAAAACAAAAACCCACTGCCGTTGAGTTGATTCTAACTCAGTGCGACGCTACAGAACAGAGCAGAACTGCCCAATAGGGTTTCCAAGGAGTAACTGGTGGATTTGAACTGACAACCTTTTGGTTAGCAGTTAATCTCTTAACCACTGTGCCACTAGGGCTCCTATGCTGTTATAGACTCCTAATAATGCACTTTTTTTGTTTTTTTCTGGTAAGAAAACCCAACTAGATCATTTCAGCCAAGAGTAGCTAAGAAAGTCCAAGTTCACTTTGAAGACTAGCTAATATTTACTGCGTATTTATCAAGTGCCAGAGTCCGTATTTATCAAGTGCCAGAGTCCCTGGGTGGTGCAAATGATTAACATACTCGGCAGCTAACCAAAAGGTTCGAGGTTCAAGTCTACCCAGAGGCACCTTGGAAAAAAGGCATGGCAATTTACATCTGAAAATCAATCACTGAAAACCTCCATGGAGCACAGTTTTACTCTGACACACGTGGGGTCGCCTTTACTTGGAATCAACTTGACAGCAACTGGTAACTTGTGCTAAGTGCCAGATGCTTATTGATTTATATACCAACCTATAAAGCAGGTGCTAGTATTATCTCCATTTTACAGTTAAAGAAACTAAGTCTCAGAAAGATTAAGAAACTTGCCCAAAGCCCCACAGATTCTAAGTGTCCAAGTTAGGACTCAGTTCTCTGTCTGAGTGATATAAAGACTGGAACTCTTCACCCTTCTTCCACCATCTTTAGGGCATCCTGTCGCTTGCTCCCCGGATTGGTATGTGTCTGCCTTTTTTCAAGTTCTGCCTTTTTTGTGATATTAAATCATTATTGTTGTTGTTGCTACTGCTGCTGTCATGAATGAGAAGGAAATAGTTCTGTTCTTAAAGGAAATCTCCATTAGCTTAGAGACGAGGGCCTCCCCAGGTCAGTTGTGATTGGAATCCTTTGTCTAGTTTCACCTGGTTGACTCTCCCATGCAGAGGAAGACCGTATAGCCAGGAGTGATCATGAAACTAATGCCAGCAATAATTCAGGTTTTATGAGGTTTGAAATCAGAGAACTAGGGCATATGCCTAAAGGTTGGCGAGATGTCCGTGAGATCGGTACTAAGGTCAAGGCATTTCAGGTAACTCAACTGCTTTTGAATACTCATAACCTTTGGATAAATTAGGTACCACTGGTGAAATTTACCTTTGAATTAAGAGTCATTAGCACGTGGTGGTGCCAGACTTTGAACACCAATCTGCCTATCTCACTAAATATATGGGGGAGGGGAGAGGAATGGGGAGGAAAAATAGATTCCTAAAGCATCAGCTTCACAGGCTCCATGCTGTCTCCCTCTATGAACTCTGGATATCTTCTATCATCTTCCAGAGCTCCTGGAGTGGAAGATAAGAGAATGTTTAAAAAATACCCCCAAGACCTACTGTCCCAGGAAAAGGGCATCTACAGATCATATGTATAATGTAAATGCTCACTTAAGGAAGGCACTCTGATGGGCCTTGGGCAAATCTTTTCGGTCCTACGAGCATCTTTTCCTCATCTGTAAAATGGGCTCATCGAACTACTGTTCTCCAAAGCCCTGCCATGATGGTATCCATTTTCTTCCACTGTAGGCAATGTTGGGACGCAACAACGGGGAGTCCTCAAGGAAGAAGGATGAAGAGGAAGTTCAGAGCAGGCACCGGTTAATCCCCCTGGGCAGAAAAATCTATGAATTCTACAATGCACCCATCGTGAAGTTCTGGTTCTACACAGTAAGCACTTTTCCCTTTCTTCTTTCTTATGGATAGCCACACGGAGCCAATGTCCATTTCATATACACCTGGGTGGTTTTCTCTATGAGTCATAATATAAGCACCACTCATGTAGAAAGAAAGATCCATGACCTTGCTTTTTCAATAGCTTTGCAAGATTTGTGGAGTTTGGCCAACAGCTTCCATAGGCTACGTTTCTTCTCCTCAGAAAATAAAGGAAATGGTAAAAATGAGAACTAACAGAAATAGAGGTGAGATGAGAAATAGAGGTGAGTCTAGACTAGCAGGAAAATAGATGTCCTTTCACAAAGCACTTCCGTGTTCTAGATGGATGAGCACTAGATCAGAGCTGCCCATTTTAGATGCCCATCCTGGGCTTGGGGTGACATTTGGTGGGCAAGGGTTGAGGAGAGTGTTAGAAGCAATACCACTAGAGATGGATAGCATATGTGCGTAACTACTCCCAATCTGGGTGGCACAAATGGTTAAGCGCTCAACTACTAGTTGAAAGGTTGGTGATTTGAACTCACCCAGAGGCGCCTCGGAAGACAGGCCTAGTGATCTGCTTCCAAAAAGTTACGGCCTTGAAAACCCTATGGAGCAGTTCTATTCTGCACACATGGGGTCCCCGTGAGTTGGAATCGACTTGACGGTAACTAAGAACAACAACTACTACTACCAATTTGATAATGTCATCAAACAACCTTCTTGCTCTGTCACAATTAAACAATATGCAAACCAAAGCAGCTGAAACGACTCAAAGCAACCTATAACCACGCAAAATATTGTTCAGTGTGCGAACCCCACAAACATCTTCTGCCTACAAAACAGTGGATTGCCTCCTGCTGGGGTAGAAATGGCTCAGCTGTTGATTTTCCATCTCTCCTTTTCAATGACATTTTAAGTTTGGGGTGAGCTTTGGCCCAGGTCACCCCTGATTCTCTCCAGCCACCGTGGAACTGTGCCAGAGGAAGGATAGCGAGTCTGTATTTTTAGCCATTTTTACAACCAGCGATACAGCAGTTACTTGAGTCAGCAACAGGATAATCTGAGTCCGAGGCCAGGATGACTCCATTGACCAGATGAGGTACTTTTCGTGTGGTCCTGAGTGCTAACACTTGACACTGGGTTAAAGCAGGTTTCTCAACCTCAGTACTGTTGATATTTTGAGCAGAATAATTCTTTGTTGTAGGGGGCTGTCCTGTGCATTATATGGTGTTGAACAGTATCCCTGGCTTCTACCACTAGATGCCGGTAGCACTCCCCACCCCCCAGATATGACAACCAAACCCGTCTCCAGATATTGCCAAATGTCTCCTGTGGGGTAAAATTACCAGTAGTTGAAAACCACTGCATTAAAGTATGGTCTTAAAAGAGGATAGAATATTATAAAAATATAAATATTAGATTTTTTTTTTTAGTGAAATAAAACTTCCAATTTATTAAAGCCTAATGTCAAAAAAAAAAAAAAAGGATCCCTGGTGGTACAGTGGTTAAGAGCTCGGCTGTTAACCAAAAGGTCAGTAGTTCAAATTCACCAGCCACTCCTTAGAAACCCTATGGGGCAGTTCTGCACTGTCCTATAGGGTCACTATGAGTTGTAATTGACTCAACAGCAACGGGTAATGTTAAAGAAAAAAGAAAGAAAAAATTATCCCCTCCAAAAATAGAACATGCAAAATTATTTCTATTTGTTTATTTTATACAGACACAGATTATTTTTCCCATGCAGAAAACAACTTAGCGGTTAAAAGCATGGACTTTGGAGTCAGATGCCTCTTATTTTTCTGTGGCCTCAAGCAAGTTACTTAACCACTTTGTTCCCCAGTTTACTTATCTGTAAGATGGGGATAATAAGAGTATAGTCCATGCTCATTATTTGCATATTCCATATTTGCAAATCTGCCTACTTGCTAAAATTTATTTGTAACCCCAAAATCAATACTTGCATGCTTTTGCGGTCATTTGCAGACTCGCAAAGATTGGGGGGAATATTTGAGTCACCCTTTTCATGTGTTCCCAGCTGAGGTCAAACAAGGTGACGCTCTGCCTTCTTGTTTCAGTTCTCATACCAACACAAGTGTAAACAAGTGTCCTTTTCACGGTCTATTGAGTGCCATAAGAAAGAAAATACAAGCAACTGGAATCCCAATTCCTATAGAACTCCCACTGACTTAAATAAGAAACATAAGGTTATATTTCTGTTCAAAACTTTGACATTTGACACACAGCTTGTTAAAGCTTACAGCATATGTGTATGTGTGGCATTTCTTTTGTAACATATTTTCATATTAAACAGATCATTTAATTCATTTTCAACCTTTAATAGATGAGGAAGTTATATGCCCCACAGTGGTATCTGCAAATGTGTCCAAGTCTTAGAAAATACCTTTAACTCATATTAAGAATCCACTTACAAGAAAATAAGAGAGGGAGGGAGGGAGGGAAAATGTGGTTAGTAGAGAAAGCTACATTTCTCTAGTCTCACAGGGCCGCCAGCTACCTTAAGTATTTCCCATCCAGGCTAAAACTTCCCCATTTTCTAAGCTCCAAAGTCACACTGTGTCTCCAGAACTCTCAAGGTCTCAATCTTCTACCCACAACCTGTCCTATCCCTTGCAATGCTGGTTCCAAAAAGTATAGAAGATTTGAATAAATTCACTCTTAACTTCCTACTCACTGCCCCTGAGGCTCCTACGGTCAGAAGCAGTGCCTTACTCAACTTACGGTCTTGCATAGAGAAGGTTTAGCTTATATGCCATTTCCCTTAGGGTGGTTTTTTCTGGGAGGTTCCTTAGCCCCTTAGGTAAAAATCTCACTAGTCTTCCTACACTCCACTCCTCTAGATTCAACTGAATCCTTCAGTGACTTTCACCGAACCTGAACCCTGAGGACTTTTTCTGGGACATCCACCAATTTAGCTGGTCACATTAAGGTTTAACCTCATGGTGCTAGAATCTAATCCAAAATAAGCCACACATACCCCTTCCTTTTTATAAACTGCTTTGTCTTCTCTTGTTTTGTTTCAAAGAAGCAGAAACCAGAAGGGACTGTTCCAGCTTGGATAGGGCAGGAAGGCTGGTGCAATGGAAAATAGGTAAAACTTTCCTAGGGCACTGACGTGCCAAACCTGTTAAGGTAGGAGAAAACAGACGACATCAACTCGGCCGAGAAAGCTGGGCTTCAAAATAATGTCTAGACTATTTCTATGTTGTTTTGACCAATTTACAGGTGTAGCATGTGTCTTCCTTTCCCTCTCATGGACATTCAATCTGCCCGGCACTCATTAGGCAAACATCTACTGTGCTGCCCTAGTTCAAGAACTGGAATTGCCCACGCATGGGCAAAAGCAGCCCCTGACAGAAGAGGCCTGTCAAAGAGTATAACTGCAAATGTAAAAGCGAAGAGTTTGAGAGTGCCCTCACATACTTTCTAGGGGGGAAGACACAAAATATTGGGTAAATGCAAAACAAAGTGATGTACCCTGTCACACAGGTACAAGCAAAGTGCCAGGCCAGCAGAGACCCATGTAAGGGTCAGAAAGATTGCATATTACGTTAGTTCAAAGATTACAGTCCATGTTTATTCTTTTCATAGTTTAGAGTTTTCAAATGCATTTTATCATGAATTCCATGTCCTGCTTGCTGACGTTGTTTTATCCTGCTGTGTGGTGGCCTTGTGCAAGGAAGGGCAGGGCTCCTAAGCCAGACCAGCCAGAGCTCTGTACTGTGTTTCCTTTCAGCTGGCATACATCGGATACCTGATGCTCTTCAACTATATCGTGTTAGTGAAGATGGAACGCTGGCCTTCTACGCAGGAATGGATTGTCATTTCCTATATTTTCACCTTGGGAATAGAGAAGATGAGAGAGGTAACTGCTTTCAAAAAAGAGGACATTGCAGAAAAAAAGTGGCTATAATCATAACAGAAATCAACTAAAGTTTATTTAATGTATGATTTGCAAATCGGGGTAACATTTCCAACTACAGAGTCAAAAATGTTCCAAAGTAGAAAGATCTTTCACAGATTATTATATTCCATCTTATCACTAGTAATTAAACATTGCTATAGAAACAGGGAATAGAACTTATAAAACAATTTGAGGACATGCCTGATTCCATATCGCATTGTTCTTGAAGAACAATTAAAACAATTACTGATTGACCCTAAGACAGAGCTTTTAGTCTGACCTTTAGAGTTTCTGTTGTCAAAACTGCACATAGATAATTCTCTGAAAGAACATAATGCCCAAGGCAAGCATTCTTTACAAATTAAGCTAAATTACTGTTGGGCTTAAAGGTGACTTTTAGGAAACCAGTTTTCTCAAGGCTCAAGGTTCAAAGACCATCTCAAGATGATAGTTTGGTTAGATAATTTTCAACCTCCATGGAATCCATAAATCTGCATGAGAATTAAAAACTCCATTCCTCTCTAGTTACACTTGTGGGTGGAAGGGAAAGGGGAACACTCAGGATCCAAATTAAGCCAGAGACTATTTTCTCTCATGCTGCCACAGAAATAATGGATTTGACTTCATAAGCTACTTCTTTCCTTCTTTGACAAACCTGGGGAAGCTGCACAGTATGATGTTTATAAGGTCGTCATTCCATAAGGACTTAGGATTTAGTCTCTGTTCTACTAACATCATTCTGTTGCACCAAGAAACACTTCAGCTGACTTCCTGTTTGAGCTCCAGCAGTATCTCTGAGGCTCTTTACACCCCTCTTTCCTTGTCCCTATAAACATGACTTTTACAAGTTTTCCACTATTAACTCCCATTTCAACTCCCTGCTATGGGTCTCTTCGGGCTCCTTCCACTAATACCTGTGGGTTTCCAAATGAATTTCAGCAGCTCTAGAGGAACTACAGGAGTCCCTGAGTGGTGTAAAAGGTGAACATGCTTGGCCGTTAACTTAAAGTTGGAGGTTCAAGTCTACCCAGAGGCAGTGGCATCTCTAGGTTGGTGTCACCCAGTGCAGTGACTCATGGTGTCACCCCCTCCATGCTAATGACCACAATATGGTAGCTAAAACACCAGAAAATTTGACAACATCAGCGACTATAAAAACACCAGCAGCAATGAAAACAACAGTGCATGTTTGCAGTGCATGCAAATGAAACCCCACGATTCAGGATTATTGTAATTGGGTAATAATGACAGCTCTGACAGAGCTCATGAGAAGTTTCAAAAAGTAAATTAGCATAGAGTTTTAGCCTTGTAGGTATATTGATACGCATAAGCTGGGCTTATGAAAAATGTTTTTGTTGTTATAACTACAGGGATATTTTTATTAAAAATAATAAATTTCTGCTGAAACACTGCACAAAAATGTTATAGACAGTCATTTTGGTGTCACCCCGTCTGACTGTTTCACCTGGTGTGGTCCACACCCCCCACACCCTCCTAGTGATGCCACTGCCCAAAGGCGCCTCAGAAGAAAAGCCCAGTGGTCTATTTCTGAAAAATTAGAAGACCCGTTGAAAACCCTATGGAGCACAGTTCTACTCTGACACACATGGGGCCACCATGAATCCGAGTTGACTCAACAACTGGAAAAAAAAGAAAATGAATGTGATCAAGAGAATCCACAAGAGGGCTCTGCAGCCCTGCTCAGAGCTCTCCACAAACTACTACTCCAAAAGAGAAAAGCCATTTGGGAAGGCAGGCTTGTGTGGTACTGATGATTCCTGTGCATTTTCCCAAGAACTGCAGTCAGTGGGAGAGGCCCTTTTCTAGAAAAATTGCTCCCTGTCAAGTCCACTGCTTCTTCAAGGGCTCCGGAACAGTCCTAGTCGCTGTATGGGGTCCGTAGAAAAAAGATTTCCTACCAATCCACAAACTCACCATCACCTTCATAACTGAGACAGGTAAAGAGCCCCTTATCTTCTTGGGTTTCTGCTCAGGAATGTTCCCCTGCAGAGAAAAAGATGCATATCTATTACCCATGGCAGGTGGGTCAATTCCAACTCATGGTGACCCCAGTGTTCCAGAGTAGAACCTCTCTGTAAGGTTTTCTCAGCTGTAATCTTTATGGAAGCAGATTGCCAGACCTTTCTTCTGTGGTACCTCTGGGTAGATTCAAACAGCCAACCTTTAGGTTAGTAGTCAAGAGCAAACCATTTGTACCATCCAGGACTTTGCAGTGTCTGTTAGACATAGTTGAGTTGGAATCATAAAAAATCTCTTACCTATATTTAGTGCCCTTCTCTTAGATTTTTAAACTGCCTTGAGGATATTTAAATTCTAATTAACATCCCCCCATCCTGAGAGCTTAGGAGGCAGATATACTTGTCCCATTTTATAAGGGTCTAGACTTAAAAATAAATAAATAAATAAATAAATGCCTTGCCTTGCTCCAACTATTCTAAACTTAGGTCTTTTCATCCACAGTGCCTTCTATTTCTTGGCCATAAAAATGGATTTCCCATTTGTAAACTGAAAAACAGTGATAAATCTGCTTTGGTCTTTGTGTAGCTCTCTGAGAACAGAGGCCTGGTGCTGTGAGAGACTCTGTGTGGTAACACGCCAGCTCTTGCTCTCCTGTGACTTAACACCCAGATGCATATTCCTTCCCCAAGATAAGCAGAAAAGGGAAAGACTTAAGCAGGGAGACTGGAATCTCTCCAGGGACTAGACTGGAAGAATACAGGGAGCAGTCTGTACTCCACGGACTGTTCTGATGGAGCTTGCCAGACAGGCAGGCTGCCAGGAGCCCCAGGCCTGGATATTCATTTCTTCTGAGGCGGCATATAATAGCCAAGAGAGCAGTGCATTGGAGGCTGGGATCAGGAAGGGGTGAACCCAAGAGTCCTTACTTCTGAGGAAGTTGTGAGGAGGGAGGCACCTTAGTGTCTGACTTTTGCCTCTGTGATGAGGTAGCCCATCACACCCTGTGCCTCTTCCCCTGAACTCGTTAATGAAATGCTGGACTATCCAAGGGAGTGAGCTGCCCACAAGTCCCCAAGCATTTGCGACTCCTCACAGACAACAAGCAGGCCCCCAGCATCTCAGATGCAAGATCCGGGAAACATGGAAAAGTCTGTAAGCTTCCGTGTCTTCTTAGGGATATACAAGGCAGGCTTTGTGGTTTCACATGCCGCCAGCCCATTCCCAGCACCACATACTTCAGCAGGTAGTCACCAAAACAAGCAATGATAATCCCTTAATAGCATGTCACTGTTTATAACATACGCTGGGAGACATTATCTCATTTTGATCCTCCTTCCCACAACTCTGTGAGGTAAATGGCACAGCTTCATTACATCCCCATTTTATAGGCATGGGAACTAAGACTCAGAGGGATTAAACCATTGTCCTGTATCCCACAGCTAGAAAGGAGGAGAGCTAGGTCTAAACCTGACTGATACATCTCAACGCTCACCGCTTTTTCCACTCCCCAAGGGGAGTCCCTGGGTGGTGCAAATGGTTAACATACTCAGCTCACCAGAAGATTGGAGTCCACCAAGAGGTACCTGGGAAGAAAGCCTTGGCAATCTACTTCCAAAAAATCAGCATTAAAAACCCTGTGGAGCACAGTTCTACTCTGACACACATGGGGCGCCATGACTCAGAATTAACTGGAAGCCAACTGTTAATGGTTTCCAAATCCAGACGCTCCTCAGAGTCCCTGGATTCTAAGGGAGGTACCTAAGAACTGACTCTAGAAGTGAGGGGGGCAGAGGGTGGAGGCTCTTCACCCTTCACTCCTGCTTTGCTCCACAGCCATTCTGCTTTTATGCCTTTTTTTTTAATGTTATAGTTTCACAAAAATATTTTCACTGTTTAAAAAATTATACTACAAACCCCTGCCATTCATTATGCTGCTTTTGACAATCTTAGGAAAGTGCGCCATATTAGGCAAAAGGCTGCAAAGCCTCTAAGGCATTGCCCTCCCCTCCCCCATCCCCACGTGCAGATTTTCCCTGGAGAAGACGTAGCCAGGGAGTGAGAAGTCATCGGACACCACCAGCTGCCAGAGTTCGTGATGGTTAGAAGAGTGGTTTCTCCAAGTGTGCTCATCCGCATCACCTGGGACCTTGTTAGAAATGCACATTCTGGGGCCCCGTTCCAGACCTGCTGAAGCAGAAACTCTGGGCGTGGGGCCCAGGAATCTGTGTTTTCACCAGCCCTCGGGGGATTCTGATGCTTGCTCCAGTTTAAGAAATCCTGGGCTAGGGTTTAGGGAGGAGATGCCACAAAGAATGAGGAAGGCTAGCAAGTAGTTCCAGGTGTCTTGCTCAGCCTTCTAAATCTCAGCTCTGGCTTCTTAAGGCATTCCTTCCTTAGTATTTTAGGCCCAGGTAACCCACTAAAGTGGAAATGAGGATTCCAATAAACAGCTGCAGATTAGACCCGCCCCTGGCTTTTCTCTTTTCCCATGGGAGGTCCTGAGTGGAAACTGTGGGTCATGGCTTGAAGAGATGGAAATCTCAGGAGTCTTGGTGCACAGCCTCACTAAGCTGGCCTCCCTGGTTCCCCTGGCTGTGGGGCAGGATGAGTGGTGACTCTGCCATTCAGCTGTGCATTTCATAGAGCCCACATATCACAGCAAAAAGGGCCCTCTAACTTCAAGGTATGGAGCCCTGGTGGTGCAGTGGTTAAGAGCTTGGCTGCTAACCAAAAGGTCATCAGTTCAAATCCACCAGCCACTCCTTGGAAACCCTATGGTGCAGCTCTATGGGGCAGTTCTGCTCTGTCCTATAGGGTCACTATGAGTCGGAACCAACTTGACAGCAACAGGTTTGGGTTTTTTGTTAGGTTTAAGGTAAGTCAGAGTCCCACCCAGCAAGAAGGATACAAGAGGGACTGGAGCATTGCTGTGAGGTGTCTGCAACAGTCAGTCAGTCAACAAATATTTATTGAGTGTCTGTTATGTAAGTAGACCCTGGGAACAAAGAATCTGCCCTCAGAATTTACAATCTGGCTGAGAGAGATGATAGATAGATAGATAGAGACAGACAGACAGATGATAAATAATGGATAGATGGCTAGGTGAATGGATGGATGGATGAATAGATACACAAACACACACATATAAGACATACAGAAGGTAATTCCATATAGTGATAAAGTCTTCAAAAAATAGGGTAATAGAGAGTGACTTGGAGTCGTGGGAACCACTGAAGCTAGGGTGGTCAAGGAAGGCCTTCCTAAGAAGGAGAAATTTTAGCAAAGACCTTGAGGTCTTTGTCAGCTATGCAAAAATCTGGGAGAAGGAAGTGCCCAACAGAAGAAACCAAGTGCCAAAGGTCCTGAGCATAGAATGGACTTGTTATGCTTAAGAGCAGCCACTATGGCTATAGGGCTAAAAGAGGGCGAACATGGTGGGATGTCAAATGAGGCCATGTTAAGGGGTTTGGATTTTTTTCTATTTATAATGGAAGTCAACAAAAGGTTTTCACATTCAACTACCATAATTTGCTTTAGTTTTGTTGTTATGTCTCTCAAGTCTCTGTTTTTAACTGAGGTATAATTTACCTATGGCAAAATTAACAACTCAGAAGGATACAGCTTTTACCTATGCAGACAACCATGTAATCACCATCCAGATCATGACTTAGGTTTAGGATCATTATGTGTGCTGCTCAGAGAAGGGATTGAGGGCAGGTGGGCAAGAGTGGAGGCAGGGATACCAGTTAGAAGCTGTTGGACGTATCTGCAAGATGTGATAGGGTTTAGAATAGGACACTAGCAGTGGAGGTGGTGAGAAGTTGTTGGATTAGATTATATTTAGAAATAGAGGCGATAGGACTTGTTAATGCAGAGATGTGGGGTGTGACAGAGAGGAATGAAGGAGTCCTCCTGAGTTAGTGGCTGAGTAACTCAATATGGTGATGCTATTTACTGAGATGAAGGAGGGCTTGGGAGAAGATTTGCAGGGTATTAGAAATCAATAATTTTATAGCAAAACCCTAATGTATGTCTTATAGTTGTAAGAAAACCCAAAAGATCAAATGTATTTCTTCTATCTTCTTCTGGAATATTTACATCTGGATGGCCTAAGCTTAGCTCAGTGGTACATTCATAGCATGTAAGCATTCAAGTAGACACAGGTATACAATGCAAGCTACTGATATCAGCTAACAGAACAACCACTCTCCAACCAGGCTGGAAGTACAGACAGAAATCAGGCCTAACTCCACTTCTTGCCTGACTTTTAGATTCTCATGTCCGAGCCAGGGAAGTTGCTACAAAAAGTGAAGGTGTGGCTTCAAGAATACTGGAATGTCACAGACCTCATAGCCATTCTTCTGTTCTCGGTGGGAATGATCCTTCGTCTCCAAGACCAGCCCTTCAGGAGTGACGGAAGGGTCATCTATTGTGTGAACATAATTTATTGGTACATCCGTCTACTAGACATCTTCGGCGTGAACAAGTATTTGGGCCCCTATGTGATGATGATTGGAAAAATGGTAAGCAGGGTCTTCTAATTCCATGTTATAATTTCTCAGAGAGAAGTGGTAATAATAGGAAGTGGAAAATAATTCTTTGGGGCCTGCTATCAAAGTCTACATGAGATGGTCCTAGCGTTGTGTGGGATTTTTTTTATTCGTTTGTTTTACATAACTCATTCTGAATGTTTGAAATTTTTATTATATCTATATGCATAACTGGAGAATTAATCACTCATTCACTTACTGAAAAAATATATAGAAATCATCTATTTTGTGCCAGCACTGGGCTAGGAGTTGGGTTTACAAAGATGCTCTTTCCAGGAGACTGAAGGTAAGAGAAAGAGAGAGAGAGAAGTAATTACCATACAGTATGAGAATGCTGTAATAGAGATGTGTATAAAGTACAACAGGAGCAAAGAAAAGGGAATGTAAGTCAGGGAAGGCTTCACATAGAGGTTACATTTTAGCTGGGTCTTAGAAGAGAAGTGGATCTCCACTCCAAATTTTTAATGAAGTGCTAGAAAAATGCCTTCCCTTACACAAAGATAAGAAGAATATAATTTGGGTTGTGTTGAGTTGAGGTGAATTTAAATTGAACGTTAAATTCTATCACTATATCATGTGTATTGTCATACTACCAGAAAATGATGTCTGTTAAGAACTAGGTTCTAGAATGATGTTCCTACTTAACTAATTCTTAAAAAGAGAATCCCAAGTGGCAAGCTAACATACTTCCCCACAAATAGCCATGGTCCCATCCCAACTCTCCTTGACCACACACCAGTTCCAGACTTCTCTGTAAAGAGAGATCCCTAGGAGGCCAGCTGCAGTGTAAAGTTGGGAGTGCATGGGTACAGCAGCTCCCTCCCCACCTCACTTAAGGAAGAATCAGATCCTGAAGCCCAGAAAGTGGATGCTTTATATCAGTTCCCTCACTTTTCCAAGTCTGTCCCCTACCTCACCTTTACAAGACACAGATGGAAAATACAAATCTATCCATTCTACCATGACAATCACCTCATACTGAAAAACCCGTTTGCTAATAGCCTCCACTCAGTTTAGACTTCCATTGTATGAGCTGTTGAAACCAACAATTGGTCAATAGATGTTCTTTATCACTTTTCACTCAGGATTTACTATATATGCTATTGCTGCTTACCTTTTGGGCGGCAAATCAATATTTTTTTAAACATCTTTATGAGTGTGGAATTCTACTGAAATGAATCTTAAATAACCAAAACTCTTTCTACAAAAGCACTGACGAACTCATGCAAAAGGATGGAGAATTCGAACCTAAAACAAAGGAGTTATGAGATCTAGAGCAATTTCTCTATCCTCTTTGAAATTCAGTTTATTCGTTTCTAAAGTAGAAATAATAAATGCGTATCTTGTAGGGTTGCTGTGATGATTAGAACTAAGACATGTTAAATGATTAACTCAGTGTCTGGCTCACAGTAGGTGGTTGATAATTGCCTGTTACTGTGTTCATATTATGTTTTTTAAAGTACAATGGAAAAAAGTAAAAAATGATGAGCATAGTTAGTCCGCTGTATCCCTAACCCCTTCATAAGGAAGCTTGGTATTTACAATACCAGCATTTTTTTTTTTTTGGCAAATATCAACAATCCCACTCTAGAGAGGAAAAACTTGAATTCAACAAGCTTGAGTTACTTACCCAAAGCTGAGCTCTGGTTCAATTAAGGATTTTTGACTAAGGGAAAAAAAAATACATACATACATATATATATATATATATAATGCTATTATACTCCTGTTATAGCTTCTTTGTACTTTAATGATTAATTGGAAATTGTGGTGAAAATTCCTATGTCTAAAAGCAGGGAGTCTCAACCTACAGTCTGTGGATGGGCTTAGGAGGGAGGCTCTTATGGGTCCTCCCCCCAGTTTATATCTAAATATGTGTGGGTTATGAATTTTCTGGAAAGAGAAGACAAGCTTACATGAGATTCTCAAATGTATCTTCAAATGGACGCAATAAAGGTGAAGAATGATAATGTCAGCTGCAATATTAGTCCATGGTTTCTCAGCCTGGGCACAATTAACACTTTGGACTGGATAAGTCTTTACTGGAGGACTGTTCTCTGTATCATAGGATGTTTAGCAGCATCACTGGTCTCTACCCACTAGATGCCAGTAGCATATCCCCCCTACACTTATGACAACAAAAATATCTCTAGATATTGACAAATGTCCCCTGTGGTGGTAGGGGGAAAGCAAAATCACCCCCTGTTGAGAACCAGTGTATTAGGAGATTCCATAATCTGATCATTTGTTTCGTCTAACTGATTCTTACCTGATTTTATTTCAATAAATAAAAACTGAAAAGGCCTAAACAAACCAAATATATTACTTTAAAAAGGCTAGGTCACATTTAAGTTCTAGAAGTAACTAAAGTCATACCAATGCAGCAAGATTATTTTAAAATGCACGTCTGTTATTTGAATAATGGCATAATTATCCCCAGTTTTGACTAGAATGAAATCTTACTAATGAGTGAGCAAGAGAGGCTTACTGCATTTTTTCTACCTTCTAACTTATGAATGGCTTCGTTTATCAGTCAAGAATAAGTAGAAAATGACTATATTTGGGGACTTTGCTTCTATTTCATTGTTTCATTGGGTTTTTAGGACAATTAGGTCAATAACTGAGTCACTGATCCAGAAGATCAGTAAAACATGCATGTTGAATTTATCAGTGAACCAGATGGGCTGTTGGGATGGGAACTATAAAAAAATGCCCAGATGTGATCATATCGAAAGCCCTTCAATATCAGGAAGTCCCTGTTCAATGATAAACAGCCAAGTAACTCACTATGCCATGATCTAGGGACAGACAGCTGCTAGGATTCCTGGACACAACAATGATCGGGCTCATTTTGAAATTGGTTCTATGAGCATTTGTGTTATAAAATAAACAGCACACCAAATGCCTTACAGCATGGAAAACCTTTGAAGCCAGTACTATTCCAGCTGAACTGCAGGTCCCGGGATCACTTAACAGAACCTTGACCCTTTCCATCATATTCCACTTCCAAATGGAATTCAGAATGGAATGTAATACTAAGCTCACTTTCATAATCCAGCATAAAAACAATAATAATAATAGCCATCATTTACTAAGTGCCAGATATCGTGTCAGACATGTCATTATTCTTGCAGCCCCATAAAATAGGTTTTAGTACCCTCATGTAACAATTGAATAAGCTAAGGCTCAGCAAGGGACAAAGACAGGATTCAAACTCATGTCTATTTGACTCCACAGCCTGTCCTCCTTCCAACTCTAATGATAATAATAATAATACATTAACATTAACTGAGAATTTACCACGTTAAGTGTTTCACATGTATCTCATTTAATTCTTACAAAAATAATATACATTATTGTTGTTGTTATCCCCAATTCATAAATGTACCCACCAAGGTTAAGCAACTTGCCTGAGGCCACCCAGCTAGAGGCAAAGATGAAAACCTACGCAGTCTGTCACCCAAGAACATATGCTTAATTTAACCCAGCATATATTCTCCCCTATAGAATTTTTGCAAAAAAATAATTTTTGACTATTACGAAATATAAAGATATTTATAAGAATGGGATGGAATCAGCTCTCTTAATATGGAACCAACTAGACAATGTAGCTTTATAAACAAAGGTAACCAGCCCCAGTTCTCACAAATAATACTCTATTTCTACATTTCACTCTACCAGATTATGGTATTTGTATAGAAATTAAGACTTCTTTGAAATATATGAAGCTGAGTGTTTGGAAAGAATGTTTCTTCTCTTTGAGTATTTGTTTTGACCCTTGAGATAGATATCACAATCAATCTGAGAGGAAAAACTCCTGAGAAATTAAATTAGAGCAGTTGATGTATTTACTGGCTGAGTTTTCTTGGGCCAGACTAGCTCATGTATCTCATGAGTACCACCTTGCTCTCCCCACCCATCTTTTAATTAGTCTAAATAAGCCCAACATTAGATCCCATTAGTGTTTTTTCATTGATTGAACTTTTTATAAGTAAATGATGAAAGAATTTTACAAAATTAAAAAGAGAACAAGCAAGAGAAAATGAAAAACAGACCCATGTTTCCTATAATACTGTTTCAACACCGTTGGCTCACTCGCTTTAGGAGAGATCTGGGACCACTAAGCTGTGGAAGAAATAACAGTGAACTGGCACAAATTTTTAAGGACAGTGAACAAATATGAATGAACATCAAATTTTGAGATTCATATTTAGTTTCAAAGTCATATAATAGTTGTACAGTAGATTTAGAAATTGCCTTAAAAGTTGATTAACTGAGTCAATATATATTGGGACCTTAGGGTCGTAAGGCATACAGGAAGGCTGTAATGCTTGAAACCCAATAATCCAAAACAGGCACCACTGAACGTGCTGTTTTAGAATATGCTCATTGGAAGCCTTCATTGTCGTTGATGAAATGATCATTAGTCTTTCTTTGTGGATGGACAGCTCTTCAGGAAGTTTGCTATCCAAAAGAAGATAGTCTTTTGTGTTAGATGGTTTGATGCAAACCAATCTCTAACTAGATTAAGCCTAGAAGGAATGTACTGATTTATAGAAGGGCATGATGGAACTGGCCTTAGGGGGCTTCAATAACTAGGGACTCAAACGCTACCAGATGTGTGTCTCTCTCTCTTCCTCATGCGTATCTGCTTCATTCAGTCGTATCATTTTCCCTAGTGGGAGACTGACCTAGCCTCAGACACTCTGAATTCACATCATTACAGAGAGGGAAAGGGAATGTCAGCTGAAACAAATCTAAAGAAAGGATCTTGTTGGCCTATCATGTGCCATTTGCCTACCTCCTATCACTGTTGCCAAGGAGTGAGTTACATGATAAACCTAGCCTGGAAAACATACCTACCTTGTAGCCAAAATAGGTGGGACATGTTTCTAAAAAAAGGAGGTAATAGGTCCTGTCAAGGCAAAAACCGTAGTCACTGTATCCTCATCTATTTTGGGTGATAAGAAGAATGTACATTAGCATATGAGAAACAGATCCCAGATAACATGTATCATGGAAACAAACAAGGAAGACAGGAGTAAAGAAGAATAAAAGAACATTGTACTAGAATGCAGTTCAGGGAATTTTATAAACATGTCAAGATGAAAATCTAGCATGCCAATAGCAAGCACAGATATGGGTCATTAGGCTACAAGATTCTAATACTTAAGAAAATACCTTCTGTGGCTGATAGGATACCTTGCAGAAGTAAGTACAGAAAGAATGGTTCTCTGAGGGACTGGTTTATGATGGAAGATCGTGGAATGGAGGTGGGGCCACAAGAAGAAGACCATATATCATGAATATTTAGTTTGTCCTAGCTTTGTTCACAATTAATTGTCTTGAGCTTTCCAACTCATTAGCCTTTCAAAACTTCGAAAGGAAATGTATACCATTGCAATAGTCCTTGAAATAGTTCAACTATCCCAATTCCAATTTTGCTAAAAAGAAAGAGGAGGACACTCACCTCCCCGAGGAGAAGAGAAAAAGTTAGAAGTCCAAGCTTCTGTGTTATATGACTCCCATGCAAACATTTGACTGGGTCCCATAGACAGCAAATGAAAATGAAGAGGCTTGCTTTTTGTAAAATGCTTTTTGAGTTATTGATAAGACTCTGTGGACATTGGCTTCAATAGACAGGTGTTCTTTTATTGGAACACAACTCCCTATTTAAACATCCTTTATCAGCATTATAGAAAGTGCATCTTCTTCAGAGATTTCCATCAATGTCAGCATTCACAGAAACACTCAATTACATGGGTTTTCTTTTGCTTCTCCCTTTGCTTCCCCACCCTTTCCAGATGATAGACATGATGTACTTTGTCATTATTATGCTGGTGGTGCTGATGAGCTTTGGGGTCGCAAGGCAAGCCATCCTCTTTCCCAACGAGGAGCCGTCATGGAAACTGGCCAAGAACATCTTCTACATGCCCTATTGGATGATTTATGGGGAAGTGTTTGCGGACCAGATAGACCGTAAGCAAGTTTATGATTCTCATACACCAAAGTCAGGTATTTAACTTCAATTGAGTCATGTCTTTTTCGAGTTCATTTGTTTGTTCTCAATAAATGGCTCAAGATAGAGGACTGATTCCTAGCTTGCTATCTTGGAGGACAAAAATTACGGAAGGTGAATATATCATTTTAGCCAAGTTATTCTCGGGTATTTCTTCAGGTATGTCCTTCATGTGACACAAATCGATATCTGGTATGCCAAATTTGATCAAGAAGTGAACCATATTTTTTTAGTTTTTAAAAATCGAAATTCTTTTGGGATTCAAAATCCTGGGCCATGTGTTGAATATTTCAATATCAGAAATATATTATGTCACCACTCCTCACCCCAGCCCCGAGTCTTTAAAAAATAAAATCTTTGGGTTTGACTTCAGAACAGATAAACAATTCTCAATTTCGCCATCAGACTTCAGAGTGAGGGGAAACATCTGCATGAGGTTTTCCTTGCACTGGAAACTATTCTCCAATTCCCTTTCCCACTGTCTTAAATTATGTGCTATTGAGACTCATAGAAAGCTAGTATTTGTTGCCTGAAAGTATGGAAAATGCCTTAGGTCATAAACCCCGAGTCACTTGCTATAAATGCCAGGAAAAAATAGTATCTGTATCATAAGTGATTCAGTGTGGGAAGCAAACACCAGCAGACCCCTGATGTCTTGCGCCCTGATAGATGCTGGCTCTCTGGAATAAATACTCCTCTTGTATCAGGTTGGAAGATAGTTGTATCCTGGTAGTCTATTCCAGGTTTTATTCGGACCAAATGTCAGGACACACCTGCCTCATCATCACTATGTGGGAAGAAAGTATCAGGAAAGAAACACCTTTCTGTGTGAAGGAGTTGAGTCCCAGGAGCAACTATTTCTCATTTTCCCTGAGGAGTTAGCTCTAGAAATAACATCCCTCTAACATTGTTGAATTAACATTTTTCAAACATTTTTTGCTGACAGGCCAGCCCTCTGAGCCCTGGACTGTGGACATGGATTAGTGTTACATAACCAGGTAGTACAGCTTATTAAGAGCAGGAGCAGAGACTAGTCAGCACAACACACACCTCCTCTCCTCCCTCCCCACAGCCCCCTACCTGTGTGGACTGAGACCAGGAAAATAAGGAAAAATCACCTAAGAATGTGAGTCCCAGGCCTGTGAAGAGAGTATGTACGCATGCGGGCAACAGAACACACTAGTACGTCATCTTCCCTTCCTTGACAGATTTTCAACAAATACCCTTTCCTTCTCAAAATGAGTTATCTGGGGCAAGCACGCCTTCTTGGAACACCTAATTGGAACAAACATTCATTTCACAAGACTCAGCCAATTCACTGAGAAAGAATGTTAACTTCACCTCCCAGTTGTCATGTCTTCGGTTGGCAATGTGTAGCCTTCACCAAGACAGCTCTCCAGTGATAAGGGAAAAATCTTTTTGAGGTCCTCCTTTCAAAAAGTCCCTAAAGGTAAAACAACACTTAAAAAGCCCACCAATGATCATTGTCCTCAGAGATTAAATGTGCTGTTTTCCTCCCTAAGAATTTGCTTTTCCACTTGGTTGGATCAGTTTGCCTTTCCTGGTTCTCCTTTCCTCCCCCAAATGAGATGAAGACCCCAAGGGTGTTTTGACCATACGATATTCTGAGGCGGGAGAAGGAGGGAGGTGTAGGTATGTTTTATAAATGGGATTCTGTCTGTCCCTCTACAAGTGGCCATTTATTGATGTTGTACTATGAACCCAGCCTAGTGCAACAAACACCACCATCTGGCTGAATCAGAGGATTTACAATTGTTATTTTAAAAGAAGGGCTGATTGTAGTTTAGAACTTGAAACCTCCCCCCACCCCCACCCCCAGTGACAGAAGAGTGGTGCTTTGTGTGAGTGAAGTATGAAAATAGATTTCCCTGTTAATTAGATTTGTGGTGCTCTCTATGCGTGTGAGAATAAATTTCTTCCCCAAATCCCAATATATCACTGGCCCAACCTTGGATGGATACAACCTTTTGACCCCTTCCACCAACCATTTACCTTCCTTTTTAATGTTCTGAAATAACTGCGATAGTATTCTCCCCATTGTTCTAAGCTAAATCAGCCAGTTTTCTGTCTAGAGTGCTCAGGAGTATTTGTCCTTTCTCAAATGGGTTTAGAAGGCTGTCCCTAAATCTGTCATGACATTTGGCCAAGGTCATTGGAGATCCCAGTCCTCTAACTGATTTGATTTTCATGTTATGGCACTGGGTGGGCCCAACTGGGGTTAGGTGACTGCCCCACCCCATCATTCAGAAGAACTGCCAGGGAGACCCAAGTACCAAGGCTATTTGAGAAAGGCACAAATCATTTCGGCTGCCCTCTGGTGTCTTGCCTCTTTTCTGTGCCGTGTCCAGGTTGGTTTGTGAAGCATGTATTCAGGCTGATCGGATCTCATATCCACGTGGACTTACAGCCCTGCCCAGGGCCTGCCAATCGCAGCCTGTGGATGTGCCTTGTGTGGGCCTCTCCAAGTGCTGCTCATCCAAACACCCCTTCCCAGAGCGATCATCTCTAACGTAATGCACGCGCTCCATATCTAACTCTTTCTGTTGTGAACTTCAATATTGCTGAACCCATTTCATGTTTGGGAAAATAACCTCTTTCTTAATTGGAATGCATGTACATGACTGTACATGGATGTACATGATGGGGCTCTAGGATAGATTATTAACATCAGTCTTCCACCTCCAAAGGGAGGACAGCTTTCATTCCCTCACTTCCGGGAGGCAACGTTACCTAACTACAGATTTTTGACACGTGTTTCATCTTTTTTCCTAGTTTGTCCTAAACACAGAGGCTATCAATGAGGCCAAAGAATCTAGAATGAGACTTGTAAGGTTACTTTCCAAATGTGCTTAAAAACTAAAATTAAAAAAAAAAAAAGAATACAGTCATTGTAAAATCACGAAATAACTTAGGTGTTTTTCACCTCTGAACTGAATTGAACCAACATGAATGATAAACCCATTGCTGTTGAGTTGATTCCGACTCATAGTGATCCTATAGGACAGAGTAGAACTGCCCCATAGGGTTTCCAAGGAGTGGCTGGTGGATTCAAACTGCCGACCTTTTGGTTAGCAGCCAAGCTCTTAACCACTATGCCACCAGGGCTCGTCCAGCATTACTCTAAATTATCAGTAGAGGCTAAAATATTTTATTTGTTGTAGGGGGTACAGGGGAGTGCAGGAACGTGATTGGAGCAGAGAATGATGAAACTGGGGACGGGACCATGATGGTCTGTTCTACCTTGGAGACGTTGTCTAACACCCTGGTTTAATTAATGGGAACTGAATTTGCAGTTATTGTTCGTTTGGGTTTGTTTGTTGGTTCCCACCCCCAAACAGCCCAATCTTGTGTTCAGGTGTCTATGTTATGTATATATAAAACACTAGCTCTATAAGACCCAAACTACATGCTACCGTGAAATAGCATGGGTTCCAGCTTGCCAAATGCATCTCTGCCGTATGACGGCATCCTTTTGAGCAATCTCATTAGGATGACCTATGTTGCGTGGCTTCTGAGAGCTGGTCAGGATCCCACTGGAGCCTGAGGGGAGAAAGACCCCATAGAGGAGAGGAGCAGAGGAATAAACTTCCAGCAGGGTCTGTGCCAAGGCCGAGGGCAAAGCTAAATTAGATGGACTCTCGCCAGCTCAGAAATCTGGTTCTATGTTTTTATGGGTAAGGTGCCTGGAAGTACACCTTTGTTGGCAGAGAAAATGGGGTGCCTCTGGCTTCCTCTAGCCTCCGAATGAATGGGACTTTCATTTACTTACAGGGCATTCGTGTGTCGCCTGCCCTGCACTCAGATTCCCCAGGCTGAACCAGGGCAGGAGGAAAGTGAATCATGCTCTTGAATGCATTAAATAAGGGTCTAAATTTAGTCCTTCTTTCTACTTCTCTGAGTATTTTTACAAGTTTGGGTAGTAATGTGAAAGCAGAATGCCCAAAACTTACTTTCTACCATGGCAACTTACTATTATCCAGCCATTTTTGCTCACTGCAAAGTGAGTATTCAATCTACTTAATGCCTGGGTCAAGTTTTTTCTTTGGGCTTTTATTTTCCATATGAAATTAATAGATAATCTGGAGGTGGAGCATTTCATTTTTTGTTTGATTTTATTTATTTACTATTTAGTACAAAAGGTTTGCTGTGAAACAAACATCCTTGATCTTTTGTATCCACATTGTCTCTGAGATGTCGACTGGATTTCAAGTGTTGTTTTTGTCAGGAAACAAGGATCAAGTATGTGTGTGTAAAGCTAAAACATTTTCCTGCATTAATTTTTCCGCCTCAAATTATTTGCTCCTCACTTCAGGTGTGGAAATGAGAACCGCGCAAGGAGCCAGTCTCTAAAATATGCCTGCTTACGGTGATGCTCAGAACAGCATGAACAGAGAAAATGGCTATTGTTATGCATTCCAATCAGTAGACTCCAGTTCTCCCAACTCAGAGCTGTGCATCTGTTTGGTATTCGAGACTGACCTCCTCTAATGGATTCAGAGCACACAAATGCCTCACAGCTATAGCATGGGGAGTGTTGCCTGAGCCAAGAAAGTATTTTGGACAAGAAAAACTTGAGCCCATGCCAGCTTTTGGGAAAGGGGAGAAATTGTTTTGCTGGGTTTTGTTTTCAGAAATTACTAAGGAAGCAAGCCAATATGGGGCGCCACCCCCATTTTCTGTCCCTGAAAGTCAGCTCACATTCTAGAAAATACCCGCCCGACTTGTTTACTAATGCAAGCTGAAGCTAAACAACAGGGCTGTCTGCAAACAGGCCTGGGTGATGACTCAGTATGCTATTGTGGTCAACATTTGTTCCACTATCATAATATTCACTTAGCATTTGCTCACAGATTGGACTTTATTTTGAATTTGTTCTTCATTCAGTGGATATTTATTTTGTTCCTCCTGTGAGCTGGATATCGAGGTACAGAGATGCATG